GGGGGTTTGGTAAAATTACAAGGTCATGTAGCAGCTGGACCCGCCGGTGGGTCCGTAGGGTTCTAGGGGTTAATGAAAAATATAAATGAGTTTTAAAAACACCCATTGATGGGTTAATTAATACTAAGACATACCGTATGTGGTCAAAGTTTTATTATTTTGTGATTCATCAATAATAACTAATAATAATAAATGTTTGGTTTACTGTGCTTTATACAGCAGGATGCTTGGAGTCATATTTTCCGCAGAATATTAGAGTTTTGCCTGTTTAATAGATGTGCAGTAAGGCGATGAAGGATAAGTACGCAAAGCACCGTTTTCCTGCATTTATTTCCCCCTGCAGATGACATTAAAAAAAAATTAGAAACTGTCTCCAAGTATGCTGTCCTGCACATCCGCTCACAGAAGTTACACTGGTCAGCTAGTCCAAACCGTGCCTGAAAAAGTGAAACCAAATTGGTCTATAAAACTAATTATATTGGTCCAAATTACACGAAACTACGGAAGAGAATTAGAGTCACTGAAAAAAAAAAAAGTTTACTGATTTTTAAAATTTCATTTCAGTTTAATATGGGAAAAAAAGTCAGAATTCTGACTTTTTTAATCCCAGAATTTTGGATCTTAGCATAGATGGGCAGCATAAAGGAAGAGATGTGGTGAAAAATGACGCAATCAGGCGACTTTTTACGTGCCTGAGGGGTCCCCGGAGATTCTATTTCATTAATGGAAGAGCAGAAGTTTATTAAAACAAGAGAGCTAGTTTAGTCTCTAAAACAGAGGTTGCTACGGCTTGATGCTAACGTGTTTGTTAGCTGTCAGAATTCAGTAAGAATTCTGAGAAAAAGGTCAGAATTCTGAGATTAAAGTCAGAATTCTGACTTTTTTCTCATATTATAATGAAATAAAATGTAAAAATTAGTTAACTTTTTTTTTTTTTTTAGTGGCCCTAATCCTGTTCCGTTAAAAACAGCTTGGTAAAATTTCAGTATTTACCAGTAAACAACATACACCAAAGAATTTACTGTAAATGACGGAAATTTTAAAGAAACTTGTATAATTGGGATGGTGCATTTTTCCACACAACAAACCCTCAGCAACACGGACACCGTTGTGAGGTCTAGGGGGAAATGGCTACAGAGCCCAGGAGCAACATTAAGGGCAGAGTGCAGGAAAGTAAAATTAATGAAATCGAATAATGCAAATTCAATTCAATTCAGTTTATTTCTATAGTGCCAATTCACAACACATGTCATCTCAAGGCACTTTACAGTTTAACAGATCATCCAGTCAAATTGATTCAAAGTTTTCTATCTAAGGAAAACCAGTTGATTGCATTGATTCATTGACTCAGATTCAATCCCTCACACTAAGCATGCCAGTAGCAACAGTGGAGAGGAAAAACTCCCTTTTAACAGGAAGAAACCTCCAGCAGAACCAGGCTCAGTGTGAGCGGCCATCTGCTGAGGCCGACTGGGGTTCAAGGAAAAAGAAGCAGAGATACAAAAAACAGCTATAAAAGGCGGCCCCGTCCAGGAAACACACAGCCAGGCAGATGAGCTCCAAGCCAGCTCCCATGTCAGAGGATGAAGAGAGCACATCCACTCAGTCACGGTCAGAGAAACAGGACCACACTGGAAAACAGGCTGATCTCCAACATCTATAAACAAAGGTGTTGATGGCAGCAGCACAGCTGATATTTCTCTCCACCATAGAGTCACAGCCAAACCGGAGCAGATGAGGCGAAGCTACTATAAAAAAAAAAGGCAGAGAGAACACTAGAGATTGAACAAACAGATTCTGCAGAGTGGAAAAATAGAGATAGAATAAAGCAAAATGATTAAATAGGAGTCCCTATATCCTCCAGAAGTCTAAGCCTATAGCAGCATAACTATAGAGATAGCTCAGGATAAAGTAGACAGGGTGTCTGCCTCACCGACTAAAACTTGTAGGAGAGGAGCCTGATAACTAAAAGATCTGCCTCCCATTCTACTTTTAGAAAATCTAGGAACCACTAGTAAACCTGCAGATTGAGAGCAAAGTACTCAGTTAGGAACAAAAGGAAACAATCAGATCTCTGGTATAAGATGGAGCTTGGCCATTTAAGGCTTTATATGTGAGAACGAGGATTTTAAACTCTATGAATTAGATTCAATTCAATAATTCTCAAAATAATCATGAAATAATAAGATAAACGTACAAATACACATCTGGAAAAGAAATACTATAAGTGCAAGTTTGAATATTTTACACCTGTTTAGGATAAGCTGAAGGAAAATCCTCTCCAACATACAGCCTCTCTGTTTGACAGCCACCCCACGTGCTCCCTGTGTTTACGTTCCGCAGGGGGAGCACGCGGTTGTCACTTCTCGCCCTCTCATTGGCCTAACGTCACGCGGATGCCTCCCACGGGCGGGACCTGTAAGCGGAAGCAGTTTCTGCACCGCTAAAAAACCCTAATAAATATCCTTCTAATAAACCTGATAATATTCCCTTCCACGCGAGGACCTGGGTGAAGCCTCCCTGCGTCAAAAAAATTCAACCGCGAAGAACCGAAAGTTCGTTTCACTTCAAAAAACCGCCGCGCGCCTCACTGAGCGCCAGAAACCGATGAAAGCGAAGGGAAAAGTTGACCAAAGTGTCTTTGTTAAAACATTTAGATCTCCGCAGGTCACAGTAAAGCAGAGGGAAGCCGGTTTAGCCGCTCTGCGTCGTTCAGCTGTTAGAATCGCAGCTCAGTTTTGAACTTTTTTAGCGCGTTTGTGTGAACCGGGAACGCGCATGCGCACTGGCGCCGGCAGCCAGAGGCGGATATAAGGATTGGCGCCGGCGCCACAGCTGATGCATTCATCCATTCTGCACCGTGGAGGTAAGAACCAGAGCCGCTCACTGCTAAACCACACAGCTTCAGCATTAAACTCAACCTGTTTTAGGGTTTTAGCTGTAGCTTTAGTAAGAAAGGGTTGATTTTAGCAGCCCCTAAATGCGTTTAATAACTTTTTTTAGGCCAGGAGAGGAACTTTTGAGCATGTAGTATTAACTGTAGCCTTACAGCTTAATAAATCCTGTTATATCTGCTCTATAACTGCTTGTTTGTAGGTTTTAATTCTGAAAGTTCTGCATATTGAAGAGTTTTATTTGTACGTACACAGATTAAATTTACAAGACTGTATCATTAAGTTAGGCCTATATGCGGTTATTTTCATTAAAAGGAATATTGTTTCTTTCCCAGAGGCTCATAAAATTAACTTTAACTGTATTTTGGGGGGAATTGGTCGGTTATTGTTGACCTAGTTAGCTGTTAGTTTGCTAATTACAGTAGCTGTCCTCTACTGATTAGCCTCGCATCGGTTCCAGTTTAGCCCACTTTATTGGCGCTTAATGTCCAATAAAACGTTTCTTATTCAGATATGTGTTTCTCCTGCGCCTCGTTTATGGGTTGGTGGTGGTTTAGGGGGAGCAGGGCTCCTGTTAGGCGGGTTTTCCCTCGCAGATTCGGGGCTAGTTTCGGAGAGGCTGGGCTCAGATCCTCCCGCTTCTGCGTTGTAGAAATTGGCGCGTCTTTCAGATTCAAACCGCTTTAAAACTCGACCATTTGGACTTTTTACCCCCTAAAAATATAACATAGGTGTTAGGAAAGATGTGGCGCGTCATTAAAGCCGATAAAGTTAAAAAGAAGAGTTTTATTTTCGAGGTTTTTTTTGTTGAAATGGAGGGAGAAGCCGACCCCCCTTCTTCCAGGCAGCACCATGGTAGCTCCCAGAACCTGCCTGCTAGTTTAACCAATTTTATCCATTTTTATTCAGTTTTTTATGTTTTCTTTGACTTTGTGAGCTGCACGGTTTCCTCATGTACTTCTTCAGCCTGCAGCCCTGTCCTAATGGTAGCTTATTAAGGAGATTTCTGCAGGTATTGCTGATAACAAGCTAGCTCTACTGTTTCTGTGTTAGCTGCAGACTCCACACCAGGTTCAAACTGAGCATTTTTAAAGTAAAAATTCAACCTTTATATAAACTCAAACATTTCTCTGATCAATCAGGGGCGGTAAGAACAAACTGGGCTGTATATAACATTAGTTTAATAATCTACACACCTTATTTTTAGGCTATTTCAGCTCTTAGCAGCTTTATTTTTAACTCCTCTGTTTAGATGCTGATCAAGCAGGTTGATACCAGTTTCCTGGGGTTTTTTTTTGGATAAAGTTTGACCTCAAGGTTTTTCTTTCTGCCCTATTTATTTATTTATTTATTTTCTTAAAGAAACTTGTAAGGGGGGGAGAGAAAATGGAGGGAGTAGATTGAGGTCCAGCAGATTATTATGGAGTCACAAGATTATGCCCCTTTTTTTAATGAAACAATCTGCCTGTAAGAATTATCTTAATTAAATTTAACTAATATAATGCATTGGAATCTAATTAATGTACATAAAAGACCCAGAATGGAGGGAATTCTTTGTATAATTTGCATAATTTGATCAGTTTGACGAGGTCAATTACTCCACGTATTCCTCAGATTCAAACACGTTTCAGTTCATTGCAGAAACTGCTTTAAAAATAAAACCAAAAAAATATTAAACTGAGTGTACTTGGTCTTAATTTAGGCCTGTAAATGAGCTGCTCTACTAATGGGTAGTTATTTTTTTGCCGTCGCATTTTAGACAATTAGAGGTTATGCACTTGAAATACTTTCTTTTTAAAAATGTTTAGATTATTTTGTTGGGATCTTAGCCCAATTAAATTATTTTTTTGTATAATTCTAAATTCCCTTGTCTGCATCATACATGTTCTCCCAAAAGTTAACTTTTCTAATTTTCTGTTATTTCCAGGAGAGCCATAAACATAAGTCAGCACCATGTCCAGACGCAGGTAAGCAGCTGAAACTGGGAGTTTGTTTGAGGACCAGATGATCTGAGAAAACATTTTACAAATACTTAACAGTTTACTGGTTACATTTTATATTGACCTTTCATAGTTTCACAATACCAAATAGTATAGGAAAAAAACCATAGGTGGTCTCTATTTCTCTTTCATTATAGATCAATTTAGATAGATTGGCTTTTGTTCATTTAGCATGCTTACTAAGAGCCAAAATTGTCCATTTTCATTGCAGTGTTCGCCTCACCAGGGATTCCAGCATAGTTGAACCATCAGTCAGAGAACCACTAAAGAAAAGAAAGCCAGAGGTTTGTTAATGAGTGGTTATATCTTGTTAATAACCATTTATATTATAGTTTGCTGACTATAACGTAGATTCAACTCTTCTCTTCTCAGAACTCTAATAAGAAGCTGCAACCTGCGCCAAAGAAACAGAGCTATGAAATACAGGTCAGTCAGCCTCCATCCACAAACCCTGAATGATTGTGTTTATAGCTGATAAGAGCTCTGCCCAGGATGCGTTTTCTGCTTTATCTATCAGTCACGCCCTCTTGTCAGTAAACTGCATTTTATTGTCTACCTCTATTATCCTAAAGTTTTTTTTATTTTACGGTAAAGTTCCTTATTGGGATGTTTTAGTCATGGTAACTGGGTCAGTTGGAGGGGATTTGATCAGAGGTAGTAATGATGCAGTACTGCAGCTTTACCAGGAGGTGTCACTGTTTACAGGGTTTCCACAGGTCATTAAAAACAATTAAGTCTTTAAAGGATTTCTTTTTAAATTTAGGCCTTAATTGGCATTAAGATTCATTAAATGTGATTATCATGGCATTTAAAATGCTTAGTTAAAAAAAAAGTTTACAAAAACAATTTGGTCAGATATAATTTGTTGTGATATGTTTGCGTGGAACTGCTTCAGGTTCATTGTAAAGCCATATATATATATATATATATATATACACACACACACACTTGTTGATGGCATTGAAATTATTTTACAACATTAAAAAGCATTAAATTCCTGTAAAAACCCTCGTTTATCATAAGAATCTCCCTGTAGATCAGGGATTTAGTCAAGCAGTAAATATCTGTTTACATTTGGTTGGCAAATTAGTTTTTATTTCTCTGATTATGACTGCAGGTTTACAAAAAAGTTAAAGTTTATATGTTCAATACCAAACTTGCAAGAAATTCTTGTAAACATCAAAGCTCAGTTGGTTAAACATGTCGGATCAGTTTCTCGCCACATCTTTGTTTCCATTTAATGATCCCAAAACCACCAAGTGTGTAAAAGTTTGTTTCTGTTCCTGCTTTTCCAGAAGTGCTGGTCGGAGGATGGTTCCAGTCCCTGCATTCTCATCGAAACTCCCCACAAAGAGCTGGAGCTCTCAGACCCATCCAGCTTCAAGCAGTACCGATTCAAGAACCTCTTCATCAAGGCCTCCCCCATCCCTCGCCTGAGGTAAGCCAGGCTTTTACACCTGAATAAGGCCACTGTGGCTCCATGCTGAGACGCTCCACCCACCTTGTTTACTCAGACTTTAACATGACAGAGTAAAAATTCAGGTAAATAAGGAAACTATTTAATGTTTAACCCTTTATAGGGCAAGTTTTTGTTCATTTGCATAAGCTTTTCAAATTAATTAAACCAGTCATTCAGCAACGATGCTCCTACATGGCAGTACATGTCACTATGGGATTGGACCAATGAGATGAGCCCTTGGCTGATATGTTACCTACTGTAAATTAAGTCGGGGGGGAACATGTTTTAAAGCTAAGATTAAAAATCTAATCCCCTACATCAGCTGTAACAGATTACAGCAAGAGAGCCTTGTTACATTGATCTTGATTTTTGGTAGTGATGGTGAGATGAAGCCTCATGAGGCATTGAACCGTTTGGCCAAATTGCTTCAACGGTCCCCACAGTTCATGAGGCTCCATGTGAACATGTCACCACCTACTGGTGGACAGCAGAACTACATTTTGTTATAAAATCTGTGATTAAATTTTTTTTTCCCCAACTGTTTTTTTTCCCTTTTAGGTTCCTTTGAAATTGTTAATGGTTGGTGTGTATGATAAAATCTTTTGTAATTTTTTTTAAGTGTAAAATTTCTTAGAACAAGCAATTAAGGTGCACAGTTTTTCTGCCATTTTAGTGAAATAAACTCAAGCAGACAGTGAAAGTGTTTGCGCAAATTGGGTAATGATGAGCAAAATGAAAGGTTTTAGTCATTTTTATTCAAACATGATAGTTTTTCCACGTTTTTTGGTTTTAATCAGGTTGGAAGTTGTGTTCAACCAACCTTTTGGCTAAACCGACCTAATTTACCCAATCTGTATTTTTACTGGGGCAAAACTATGCAAATTAGTCTCATCAGCCAAAATAATTAACTTTAATCACAACTTTCAAAAGTCAAAGACAGGTTTTGTCTCCTACAGCTGAAGCCACCTATATAGATAACCATATTAGGGAGGAAAAAACTAATTAATATGACGTGTTAACGCCGGCTATGTCCGGTGGTTTCCTCAGATTTTGATCATTACATTGTTTATTCTAACTAAATTAGTTTTAACCAACTAGATTGGTTGGAGAAACAACCAATCTATTCTTAGAATCTATACAGCTGACAGCAACTATCCTACAAACTCCCACATCTGGACTGAACACTGAGGCTGTTTAGATGCCTGTCAAATTTCTTGCACTTCCCGAAGCAGTCACGCGGTATCACGGTAGCGAGGCCTCGGACGTCATGAATTTTGGCCCCGACTCTAAACGAATCACGCCTCGACGCACGTTTCGGGGGAGACGCGCCCTCCATTACTCAACACACTCCTCGAAGCCTCGGCTCATCTCATAACATCACTAATTTTTGGCATCAAAATAGACGTATATTTTTTGAAAGTTACAAAAGTAATATGGTGCCATTTTCCAATAACACTCTTAGTGAAATACTAGTAAAATAATTCTAAAATTTCAGCTGAGTACCCTGTAAAGGGTAAGCTTTTTTTTTTTTTTTTTACCCTGAACCATAGTTGTCAGCCTTTAAAACTAAATGTTTTGTCAATGATCACTATGCAGGGCTGTTCAGTTCTTTCAGATTTGGGCTTATTTTACGCTTCTGTTTGCAAGGGGCTATAACTACATGTTTCTTTTTTTATTTTTTCTTAGCTGGGCGAGCTCGGATGATGTGTGGATTAAAATGCTCAACAAGGAGTTGAAATACGTTCATGACAAGAGCTACTTGCAGCGGCATCCCAAACTGCAGCCCAAGATGAGGGCGATTCTGTTGGACTGGCTGCTGGAGGTGAGTCCTGAGCTGGAGAGGGATCCTAACGAATGAAGCCCCGGTGGGTCAGCGTGTCGTTAACCTGTTGCTGTTTGTTTAGGTGAGTGAGGTCTACAGCCTCCACAGACAGACGGCCTACCTGGCCCAGGACTACTTCGACCGCTTCATGCTGACCCAGCAGAACGTCGACAAAGATTACCTGCAGCTCATCGGCATCTCGGCCCTCTTCATCGCCTCCAAGATCGAAGTAGGTCTTAGTTTCCTGAGCTCTGTTTGGAGGGTGTCATGGGTTGTTTTTGCAGAACGGTTCTTGCTAAACTCTTGCTTTTCTTCTCCTTTTTTTTTTAAAGGAAATTTATCCCCCTAAAATGTTCGAGTTCGCCTACGTCACAGACGGCGCCTGTGACGTGTTGGACATCCAGCGCACAGAGCTTCATATATTAACGGTACGTCAGCTGTTCTTTCCTCCGGAGAGGATCCTGTTTGTTTGATTCCTTCGCTGACGTTGGTGTCTTCCTGCAGGCGCTGGACTGGAACCTGTGTCCAGAGACTCCCATCTCCTGGCTGAAGCTCTACGTTCAGGTGGAAGCCCAGAAAGATGGAGAGAACTTCCTAGAGCCGCAGTTTTCTCAGGAAACGTACATCCAGATCACACAGGTATCAGAGTAGAAGTCTGCTCCTCTGCCCTCTAAACCATTGCTGTGAGAACATGTTTGACCGTCTTTCTCTCCTGCAGCTGTTGGATTTGTGTATGATGGACATCGCTTCACTGGACTACAGCTACAGTGTTCTCGCTGCTGCCGCCTTCTGCCACTTCTCTACTTTTGACGTTGTTCATAAGGTCTCAGGTAGGTTCCTACAGAGTGTTTAAATAAACCAGATCTGCTGCTGGTTGCTGAGCTGGACTCTCTGTTGCAGGCCTCACCTGGGAGAGCGTGGTCCCCTGTTATCAGTGGATGAGTCCCTTCATGGAGACGCTGCGCTCTGAAGCCAAACCCCAACTCAAGAACTTCCCCAAAGTCAAAGCTGATGACAGACACAACATCCAGACACACGTGGCTTATCTGGACCTGCTGGTGAGCAGAAATGTGGACTTATTTAGGGTTTCCATGGGTCATTAAAAGTCATTAAATTTGATTATCGTGGCATTTAAAATGCTTTATTTAAAAAAATAAGTTTATAAAAACAATTTCAGGGTTCCTGCGGGTCCTTAAAAAGTCTTAAAAGGCATTGAATTGTTCAGAATAAAACTAAAGCTTTAATTGGTATTAAAATGTCTTAAATCAGTCTTTCGTAGGTCTTAATTTTTAAAACACCATAAATAG